CTTTGAACACTCGCATAGGATATGGGCAACCGACTCGCTTGCCTTCCCACACATTCCAGACAGGTGGCTTCCGCTGTGATGGAAAATTTGGGGCTTGACCAAGCTTCATGAGTTCCGCATCTGACTGAAACACATACGCTGCAAATTGCTTTTCTCCATGGTGACAACAACATGGATACTTTGCAAACCACGTCCACCCTCCTTGCGATTGACGTATTTACGGGCTACATCAGCGCGTGGATCGAGAACTCCATGCATAGTCATAAGCTTGCGCGTTCCTTGGTCAGCAGATTTCAACTCGTCCTGCGTCCATGCCAAGATACCAGCACTATACCATATCAAAGCCGCAGCCCAGGTGTTGATGGCTGTGATGATGTTGTGGCCGTTAAGAGCTGAACGGAGTAGTCGTATGAGGCAGATGACGAAGAACAGTGGGGATATGGAGGCCCCTTGGAAAATCCCTTGCTGAATGGCCGCCGATCTCAAGGTGTTGGTGCCGTTCCAACGGTCCGACTTCCACTAAGCCATGCTAACAGTCATAAGTCTGCGTACGGATTCTTGTTTGCCAAACAGTTCCTATATTATTACTATTAGACCATATATGACATCAGACACTGGACTCTACATGAGTATATTATGACATCAGACACTGGACTCTACGACACAAGAACAAAATACAACAACGTGCGTAAATGATAGTCGAACGGAATTTCGCAACATTAGGACTATCGCCGGATGTCATAGTTCCACGCTGGCCATATTCAATGTCACACAGAGTGGATTTAACTACTGCATGATTCTCGCCTACGGTTCTGTTCCATGCTACTTGACATAACCAAAGGATCGCACGACCAAAAAGTGGACACTTGCAACATTATGTCAACATTCCTTTTCAACAGCGAAGGTATGTTTAGCACACCTTTCAAGGGCATTATTGATCAGTTACGAAGGAAACTGTCTGTTTATCTATGCCATTTCGAATTACATTGTCAATCCGCTCTAGATAATCGGTGGGATTATTCTTCTCAAAGTTTAATGATGATGCCAGTCCTTCTTCTTTCCCATCGTGGACCTTTCATGTATCGACTTTGCTGTTAGGACAATAAAGTGAGTAATAACTTCATGTTCTCCGTTAAGTTCAAATTTGAAATTGAGTAATAACTTCATGTATTGACAGTACTATTGTATTGTAAGCGCACATAAGTGTTCTTGTTCTGTATTGTGCAAGGACATGTGATGTCTGTGGCAACTCTTGATTGTATCTCACTTCTTATTATAAGAACAAATGATGAGGTCGCAGAAGGAGTTTTACAAACCACCAGTTCTCAAGTGGGAAAGGCCTTCGCGTCTATGGCACTGTATTCTTTGCAATGTTGTATGTCGACTCCGCCGTACCGCTAAGGTTGCTGCATGGCATACGCTATATGCGCTGTGTGCAGTTTTTACTGCATACACTGTTATAATGAATACCGTGGAAGCCACACAAGAGCAGTATATACGCAGAGTGTAGCGCCAAAAAAGATGCGAATTATGTCACCTAGTATGCAGAAAGGGGGGGGGGCGGACAGAGAGAGAGAGAAAAGGCGCAACTAGCACATGACGGAGGAGAAGCAGCAGAAGGTAGCGCGCATTGTGCTCTGTGAATGGCGTTACGCAGAGTGTAGCGCCAAAAAATAAGATGATGCGAGTTATGTCACCTCTATACAGAGGGGGGGGGGGGAGAGAAGGTGCAACTGTGCACATCACGGAGAAGAAGAGCGCGCCGTTGTACTCTACGAAGTGAGGGTACATGTGTAGTATCCCTGCCCGACCAATACGGAAGCAGTACGGAACTAATACGGAGCTTGCCTGATGTATATTTAGTGTATCTCCGTATGTAAGCGTACGTCGTCTGCTGCATAAAAGCGGCTGCGCATTTCTGTTTTGATGAAGAGAAGATTAGATTAGATTGGATAGCAATCAAAGCTAACTCGAAGAATAAGGATTCAGCCTCTAGGTGAGCACCGGAGAGAAAGTTATTTATTTTGCCGCTTCTTCTTGCAATAACGATTATATCTCAGGTGTGTACCTGAAAGTAGAATAAAAGTAATTCTTGTTAATTGCACCGCGCCTACCACTCGGCTACCTATTACATTGGTGGCAGCGGTGTGTTTTAGAACAACGTGATTCGACCCCAGACTACCATGGCGATTCTAAGCGACCTGCTACCTTCATGAATACTACCGGTGGTGATGTCGAAGCTGATGAGGACGACAACAGGCAGGCTGCTGCCCATGACAAGGAGGGTATTCCCTAAGACCACCAGCGTTTGATTTTCGCCGGCACGCAGTCGGAAGCAGGAGCCCACTCGTCACTTGGTACTTCGTCTCCGTGATGGGATGCAGATTTTCGTCAACACTCTTCCTGGCTAGACCATCACTCTTTACGTCGCGCAAAGCGATGCTATTGACAATGTGAAGACCGCGACTCAAGACGAGGAGGGAGGTCATTTGTCTGACGCCGAGCTAGCCGCTCTGGGTGACCGGCTCAACCAAGATGAAGATAAAACCTGGCTTGCTCTCCGCCGTAGCTCCAGCAGCCGCCGTGGTTACTAACGCTGATTCCAGGTATGGCATTTTCTTTCCTGTCTTCCTTCAGTCTCCCTGTTCTTTTCAGTCTTCCTTTATGCGAGTGTGTGAATCCAGTTTAGTTTGGTAGGCGTCTGATCATGGTGAGCCACGGTTTACCCAGCTAACGTGGGACAATGTGTGTGACAACGCCCCTTATAGTTATAGTGTATTCAGTTCGGTTTTTGAACTGCGATGTTCCTGGCGGGTTGTGCCAGCGTAGTGCAGCAAGAGTGCTGTGGTTTCAGGTCCTATTTGGAGGACAGTTCTTTCCCCTTTTGACCCCGTGAGATCGTGTGAACCTGGTGTGCTTTTACTTCTATTTTATGATTTGTTATCAGTTCATTTCTTCTGTCTACTCTAAACGTTATCATTTCCGATATAATTTGCCATCTTCCGGTTGACGCTGTTGTTCGTAACTCCTCACTAATTTTTTTGAAAATCACGAGGGCGTGATTATCTGTAGGAAGGGAGGGTGTAGTATCCCTGCCCGACCAATACGGAAGCAGTACGGAACTAATACGGAGCTTTGCCTGATGTATATTTAGTGTATCTCCGTATGTAAGCGTACGTCGTCTGCTGCATAAAAGCGGCTGTGCATTTCTGTTTTGATGAAGAGAAGATTAGATTAGATTGGATAGCAATCAAAGCTAACTCGAAGAATAAGGATTCAGCCTCTAGGTGAGCACCGGAGAGAAAGTTATTTATTTTGCCGCTTCTTCTTGCAATAACGATTATATCTCAGGTGTGTACCTGAAAGTAGAATAAAAGTAATTCTTGTTAAAGGGGAACTCCACGAAAAAATGAAAATTTGATAGCCTGTAGAGTTTCGGGCGCTGAGTCGAATGGTCTTGGTCCGAAGTCTCTACGAGAAAGCGTTCTTGAGATATTTCAATTTTAGCCACGCCCCATACCAATGTATGTGTGACGTCATTGTGGCAATGCGCGAAAATACTTGGATTTTGAATCTCACTTTCTTCAGGACGAAAGTCACTTCAGAAAGTAGTTTGCCAAGTCGCCTGAGCCGCTGCAATGCCAAATTGTTGTGTTGTTGATTGTGCCAGTATCACATCATCCTCCTGGGGTTAGTTTTCTCAAATTCCCAAAGGATGGAGACCTGGCAAAGCGCCGAGATGTTGCAATGCGTCGTGAAATTTTCAACCCTATTTTCGCAGCACGAGCTATGTTTGCTCGCTGCATTTATGATCCAGAGGGACTTGAGAGCTGAGTTTTGACGAGTACGCCGTCCAGGAAAGCCCTCATCAGTGTACCAGTGCCCTCCGAACCGTGAGCCTCCAGCAAAGCGAACTCAACAAGCTGCAACTGAGAAAGCAGGGCGAGATACGTCCCATCAGGATCAGAAGAGTACATCACCCCATCAACTCCGACTGCAGCTAGCTGATGAACGATATTACCCCAGTAACTTTGCGCATACCAGTACTCAAACTGTGCACATCTGTCATCAACTGGGACGCAAACAGACAGACCCCCAGCAAGTACGAAGGTTACAGAACTGTTTGCTTGCGATGTGCAGGCAGCATGCACGACGAACTGTCTCACCAATCCTGCCAAACTGAACCAGTGTAAGTTGATTGCGTGGATATGTCTCTATTTATAACAGCTACCCTACTTCTAGGCATGGTTGCATGAATACCATATCACTCAGAGCAGTTGTTAGAAGTCTGGACAGCCTTGGAATAGTGCAAGTAAAGTGAAACAAAAATATATTACACTCCGAGTTCCACGCTTGCGGGATCACCAGGCCAAAAAAATCTAATTTCGAACAAGGAATGGGTTCTGGTTGTATGCGAAAGAAAAGTAAGTGAAGACCTATTGTGCAAGGAATACAGTGGGAACTACACATATTATACACATGCACTCACACCATCACCCACATGCGTGCGCGTGCGTGTGCGTGCACACACACAAACACAACAACACACACACATACGCACCCACATACTCAAACTCACTCGCACGCACGCTAGCCTAAGGATAGTACATATGCTGTAGTAGTGGTATACTTAGTGAAATGACTATGTGTACATCTAATGACGCCGCCACTCCACGCCAGAAGACAACAAACATCTGCTGCAACATTTTTGCTCCCGTCTCTTATGGGCAACACAGGGAATGAAACGAACAATGCAATTGAGAACAAGAGTCGTCCTGTACGGTGAAGTTTCCATTTTCTCATACAGCAGTATATTGTCTAAGCAAGTGTGTTTTCTCCACATTCTTTTTGCCATGCAGGTATATCACAGTGTCATGCCAAACTACATTCTCAAACGCATTCGTTTCTCAATTCTGGGGATGATTGGACACGCACATCTCGCAGCTCTTGACGACGTCAATGTCAACCGTCGCCACAGCACAACCAAAAAGACCGTGATAGGAAGGTATAAAGTCCAGTTCTCAAAGCATAAAGAAGACTGTGGCCAAATAGAAAATTATACGACAGAAAGAGCTATGAGTATGTTGACAAGCTCATGTGTGAGGTGGTAGCGGTTGCAAATGGCAACCTCCATGTTCCTGCCTTGGAGAAGCGTGTTTCCCTGCCAAATTCCAGGTGGAAGCCTCCTGAGAAGGCTGAGGTGGTGCAGGATTTGGATATCTTTGCCTGATGGTATTCACAACGCAGGCTGGAAGACGACAACGAACGTGCTTGCCCAATTTGCCGTGTACATAGTGTGTACTGCCTGTGTGCCGCATAGCGTAGAGATCTACACAAACACAGAATGTCATATGGAATGTGTATGATGAGTGCTTGTACACATACCACATTGCTGTACCGTAATAATTATTATAGTCAAATACTCATTTACTCTACATATGCGCTGTATTGCACCTACCGGTACCTACCTGCACTTTCAGTGCGCGCGCCATACTAATTTAGTGTCCACTGGTACAAAGATGGAGGGTCTTGTAGAATTTACCATAATTGCTGATTTCAAATTGAATTCCAATGATCTGGGGGATGAATACTGATTAGGACGCGTTCGATTACCTACTAGTACAGAGATGTCTTGGTCAGAAAGTACAGATTTCTTACTCTCCTGCCAGAATTTGTGCATTATTTTGGTGTACGCTTTCTTGACCCCACGCTTGTACGTTGCATGCCATGGTATACTAGAAAACGAGTTTATTGACAAAGTCTATCGCTTGAAACGATAAAGTATGGGTTCGGTTGTGATCAAATGCACCCATGGTGCTCATAAACTGTGTGCAGTGCTCTCTTCACCAACAGAACACTACCTACCATACTTTGTAGATCTTGTACCAATCCAAGGGAAAATGACAAAGACAAATGTGAGTCATGCATGAAAACTTGTGATAGCACGGTCTATAGTACAGAACACCGTTGTTCGTGCTATGCCTGACAACAATAATTAGTTACACACAAAACATTACGCGCATCGATCCTCACAAGATAAGTCAAGACATACTCGGAGCAAAGAGAAATTTGTTTGTGTCATGCATGAAACTTGTGATAACTACCAGTACAATGTCTTTCTTGTGCGACGCCTACTGTAGTGCGCCTGACAACAATAAATTTCCCCCAAAAAATAAGAATAAGTGTATCATGCTGATACGCGATCCTCACAAGACAAGTCAAGGCAAACTAATTGAGGCTTACCTAATGTCAGACTCTTCTGTCACTGGCATTGGCGGCTTCTGCATGTCGAGATAACCTCGAAGAGCAGTGATGAGCACAGCCTAATGCAAGGATGCGATCTCGTAATCTGCGAGGTCCGCTACGCAAGAAACCTTGGGCCGTCTTGTCGACAGCGACGGCAGCATCCTACCAGCAAAATCATTCCCGCGGGCTGGGCATGGCTATACACTTTTGTCCACGCTCGCACCAGTCGGAGTCCCAAACGAATCGAGATTCTGGTGGCCAAGCTACTCGTCTTCTGTCGGACGCAGCTGCTGACGCATCTTCTTCCTCCACATTTGTTACACGCGATGGCAGCTCCTCAGCAGAGTATCTGGGCTCCCTGCCCCAACCATACGCGGCGGTGGGCTGTTGGTCGTCCTCACTGGCCTCAGCATCGCTGCCTTCATTGCTGGGGACAGAGGATTGTTCGGAATCGCCCATCTTCCCTTGAAATACCAACTAAAATAATTAGTGCTTGTAGACTGGCGAAGAGAAACGACTTTGCCACAATGACGTAGGCAGCCCGTGATGATGTAACCAAATGGCCGCATGACGTCAGGGCGCGGCCCCCGTTTTTGCAATTTCAAAGTGAAATATCTCAAGAACGCTTCGTCGTAGAGACTTCGGACCAAGACCATTCGACTCAGCGCCCGAAACTCTACAGGCTATCAAAGTTTCATTTTTTCGTGGAGTTCCCCTTTAATTGCACCGCGCCTACCACTCGGCTACCTACATGTATTACACATGCCAAATAATTATGGTGTTAATTCTAGCACAGGAGGGGAGCACGGAGCCCCATGAGTCAATGCACTATGAGGTTAAACTTCCATGCCAAACTGTTACCACCAGGGACGCGACGAGGCATCAGGAACAGAATGGATTTGAGTGACCCACCTCATATTATAACTATTCAGTGATATTGAAGTAGCAGCAGGGGAAGCTGAGAAAATTCACAACAAATCCCATCCGGTGCTTATGTTCACATGGGGCTTGGCATCACGAATCTCAATCGCCTCGCGCAGTTTGCGACGGGCTCAATCAGACTCTCTTCCTATTACTTCAACTGCAGAGAATGCACTTTGCCCATAGTTAAGCTTACATCCAGGGTGAGTGGTACGAAAATGTTGGCCCCATGGCTTGTCGAGTTCCTGGCGTCTTGCCTCACCATTATGTTCTTCCAGGCGAGTTTCCAGAAAGCGGCCAGTCTCACCAACATATTGTTCCGGACATTCTTTGCACTTCAGCTGATATACAACATTCTTCTGCATACATACATCCTGTCCCCCGGATATACACGAGATACACGGCCCCTTTGGGCGACCTCTCTTTTTCGGTTGTAGCGGATTTGCAGCCTTGACACATAGAGGAGGAACGAGGGCGGAGCGACACAATGTGCGCCTCAGGCTACCAGTGTGCTCATATACGACTCTAACCGGAATTTTTTACTTTCTGATTGCTTTATTCACTGCTTGATTTACTTTATCTGACTTATATGGAAGCTTTAGAAATGCGCAGCATGGGTTGGCATGGCGACGACACTTTGGCCTTATGGAGGCAGTGCGTGCCTCTTCAATGATTCTCTCTGGGTAATTGTTCAATCTTAATTGTTCATGAACCCTCGCTTCACTTTCTGCACGCATTCTGGTATTCGATGAGAGCCTCTGAGCTCTTAGGAAACAACAGCTCGTCCCGCGGCCCAACTCCTGTTGCCGCCGTTGGTGTTGCGTCACCCAGTGGGCATACGACCAATGCTGAGCCAGTCCTATAGCGGGCGTTGGTGGTGGACGATTGTGTGTCCGACCAGACAAGGCGTCTGCTGGAACATGGACCTAGCTTTGTCCCGTCGACGGGGAGGCTCAGCAAGCAAGAACGAACAGATGTTGAGACATCGGTAGAGAGGATGGCGTTCACCCTCCGGTGGCAACAGCCCCAGCCTCAGGGTGTGGACCTCAAAGAGGAGGACCCACCGCCAGAGATCAGACAGGACAAGAAATTGTGGAAGCTGATGAAGCGTGGCTTTAAGCAGCCCCCACAGATGGATGACAAAGACGAAAGGAACATGGCCAACTTCCGCGACAAGGTGTTACGGGCTTATGACAGACACACACCCTCTAAGCCCAATCTGACGCAGGAGGAGCGGGTGGAGCTGAAGCGACTTCGCACAGACCAAGAAACCATTTTAAAACCATCGGATAAAAGTAAAAAACGCGTTGCTATGAGACAGGAGCTGTATTTGCAGAAAGCAGAAGACATATTATCGAACATGACCATGTATGAGAAAGTAGATTTGACCATAGAGTCCTACGAGACCAAGACACGAGAAGTAATACTGTCAGAGTGCAAGAACATGGATTCAAAACTCCTAAAGTCAATCCTACCAAGCAGTACGAAGTTCCCCGAGTGGTACGGTCTTCCAAAGGACCATAAGCAGAACTTACCATTGCGACCCGTGGTAGCAGCGTGCGACAGCCCAACGACTGGAGTATCTATTGTATTGGAGCGCATCCTACAGCAGCTCATTCCATTTGTCCCGGCCCACCTGGCTAACACGACGGAAGCAATAACCCACATCTGTGACGCATGTCCGGGATTGAACGCCCCCGATGGCACCATTGTTATGTCCATGGATGTAGTCGGGTTATATCCGAGCATACCTATTCGGGAGGGCGTTCAGGCAGTGGTGGATATGCTGCAGCAGTATTCCCAGCGGATTGACATGTTTGGGCTGAGTGTGAGCGGGGTACGGAATCTGCTGCTGTTTGTTCTCAGCCACAACTATTTCAGATTCGGCCATCAGATCTATCACCAAGTGGACGGGGTTGCAATGGGTAACAGTCTTGCACCCCCATTTGCGATTCTTTTCATGCATACGGTTGAGGCCAGGCTTCTGCAGGATTCTCCGTTAGTACCGCTCCTCTACAAACGCTACATCGACGATATCCTGCTGCTATGGACCCACGGCAGAGAGAGCTTGATGCGGTTTGTGCAGCACTTCAACTCTGCACACCCAAGTATCAACTTCACATATGAGCTCAGCGAGGTGAGTGGCTCCATAAATTATGTGGATATCACAATTATGATCCAGGAAGACAAGCTGGCATACAAGCTGTACCAGAAGGCATGTGCTAGTGGTCTACTCATTGATTATACTTCGGCAGTTCCCCACCATATCAAATTGGCAGTTGCTTCGTCGCAATTCCTAAGAGCTCAGAGGCTCATATCGAATACCAGAATGCGTGCAGAAAGTGAAGCGAGGGTTCATGAACAATTAAGATTGAACAATTACCCAGAGAGAATCATTGAAGAGGCACGCACTGCCTCCATAAGGCCAAAGCGTCGTCGCCATGCCAACCCATGCTGCGCATTTCTAAAGCTTCCATATAAGTCAGATAAAGTACATCAAGCAGTGAATAAAGCAATCAGAAAGTAAAAAATTCCGGTTAGAGTCGTATATGAGCACACTGGTAGCCTGAGGCGCACATTGTGTCGCTCCGCCCTCGTTCCTCCTCTATGTGTCAAGGCTGCAAATCCGCTACAACCGAAAAAGAGAGGTCGCCCAAAGGGGCCGTGTATCTCGTGTATATCCGGGGGACAGGATGTATGTATGCAGAAGAATGTTGTATATCAGCTGAAGTGCAAAGAATGTCCGGAACAATATGTTGGTGAGACTGGCCGCTTTCTGGAAACTCGCCTGGAAGAACATAATGGTGAGGCAAGACGCCAGGAACTCGACAAGCCATGGGGCCAACATTTTCGTACCACTCACCCTGGATGTAAGCTTAACTATGGGCAAAGTGCATTCTCTGCAGTTGAAGTAATAGGAAGAGAGTCTGATTGAGCCCGTCGCAAACTGCGCGAGGCGATTGAGATTCGTGATGCCAAGCCCCATGTGAACATAAGCACCGGATGGGATTTGTTGTGAATTTTCTCAGCTTCCCCTGCTGCTACTTCAATATCACTGAATAGTTATAATATGAGGTGGGTCACTCAAATCCATTCTGTTCCTGATGCCTCGTCGCGTCCCTGGTGGTAACAGTTTGGCATGGAAGTTTAACCTCATAGTGCATTGACTCATGGGGCTCCGTGCTCCCCTCCTGTGCTAGAATTAACACCATAATTATTTGGCATGTACCCTCACTTCGTAGAGTACAACGGCGCGCTCTTCTTCTCCGTGATGTGCACTGTTGAACCTTCTCTCTCTCCCCCCCCCCCCCCGGTGACATAACTCGCATCATTTTTTTTTTGGCGCTACACTCTGCGTAACGCCATTCACGGAGCACAATGCGCGCTACCTTCTGCTGCTTCTCCTCCGTCATGTGCTAGTTGCGCCTTTTCTCTCTCTCTCTGTCCCCCCCCCCCTTCTGCATACTAGGTGACATAATTCGCATCTTTTTTGGCGCTACACTCTGCGTATATACTGCTCTTGTGTGGCTTCCACGGTATTCATTGTTATTACCTGACGATGGCCAAGTGCCGAAACGTTGTAAAAATAACGGAGCTGGTTCGGATGTTATGTGCAGCGCTATGGGAATGGGTGTGTCCACCCGAATTCTTTTCACAGATGAAGCTGCTGGAAGCCTCAGCCCTTCTTCATACACTGTTATGTCATGTTTTATATGCGTATGCTTTCCTGATATACGCTGTCATTTGCATGCTATAAATAGCTGGTGATCTTAGTGTTAGTTTATTATATTCAATCAAGTGAACAATACTGTGGAAGAGAAAATAGCTGTCCTCGTGCCGTGTGCTCGTTCGTTCCTGACTTTTAGAGAATCAGAAGGGTTCACAACATTTTGGGACCACGCCAGGATTGAAGCGCTCATGACAGAGGCACTAAGTAATTTGGAGGCCATCTTCATCGCCAATGGAATTCGGTTAGAATTGGAAAGCGAGAAGTTGGAGGAACATGTAGAGCAGAGGCTCCGACAGTACGAGGAGCGTGAGGGGCGCAGTGCCAGACGGCAAGAGGAGGCGCTCAGCACCGAGTTTGACAAAAATCTCAAAGAGATTAACGAGCGCTTTGCCAAGGCGTATGAGGGTGATGGTGAAGCCGCCAATGAGAGTGCGATTGGAGGTACAGCGGAAGCTCCCAGTCACAGCAGTGGGCGTAAACCGTTGATGAAAATCCCCTCATATGTTGAAACGCATTCACTGGAGCGTTATTTCGGCCTGTTCGAGGCCACCTATTCCAAGAACGAGTTCGAAGAAAGCGAATGGCTGCTTCGATTGCGTATCGCGCTAGCGGGTAGCACAGACGAGAGGATCTGTATTTGCTGCAGAAACTACGAGAGTTGCTTGCCTCGTTCGGAAAGACGCCAGACAAAGTGTGAAAGACGTTGCTGACAGGCAAGCAGCGGTCGGAGGAATCTTTTCACTAATCCGTTGTGCGTGTTCGCCGGGAGGTAGAGGTGTGGACCACACTCGTAATAAGATGGAAGATAGCGAGGTGGACACCAAGTATAACGCCGATACATTATTATTATAATTATTAATGTTTATAGGTAAAATGGCCCCTTTGCTGGAAGCATTGGCAAAGTAGGTGATCTAGGATTAATGCGGACCTGGTCGAACGGCAGTGCTACAGGAAATCTCTGCGTCAGGTTCAGGAGCACGGCGGGTCTTACCAGATCGCACACGGACGACAGGGTTGATACTGCCAGGAAGCCAGTGGAACGATCAGTGGCAAGGCTCATTGCATGGCGATATCGGTCGCAGACACAGAGAAGCAGCTGAAGTCACTGCCAAAGGAAGGGAGAAAGGT